AAGATGAGCAAATGTTTGTTTTTTTTTTTACAGTGCATCTGAGGCATTTTGGGTAGTTTACAGTCTGTTTTATCTCTAATGGGACCAGAGGGAGATAAGGACGGCTGTTTAAAATGGGGATGTCTGTTTTTGTCAGACGTATCATAGAAACAGCTGGCTTTTCTGAAGCCAGCCTCTAAAAGATGTGGTTTATTTTAATGCAGATGTGTTGGACAACAGAATTACAGCTCATGAAAATGTTTTGCTAATTGAATGACTCTCACTTTTTCCTCACAGCAAATCTTTTTTCACCCTTAGCAGCGTAGCTGAAGGTAAAAGAGAGATTGTATTGGCTGTTTGCAGCTCTAACTTCGTTTGTGTCATATGGTCTGATGGTATCCCCTAACAACAGAACTAAATCATAAGTCTTCACATTCACAAATGATTAACTGGAAATGTTGCGATATTTGTTATCAATGAGCCACATAAAAACAGAGAGCAACATGCTAATGTTACCTTACCACTTCAGAGTCTGAATGCAAACATCGCCAGGGGCAACACGAGAGTTTATTGCAGAATGCAGCAGAATTTTAGAGAGTAGATAGAAACAAATGTTAAAACTAGAGGTGTACCAACTGCAGTTTTCTGGCTGATCACAGATATTTAAAAACCCTGACCTGCCGATTCTGATTTAGGCATATATAGACACTGAATCTAGGGACTAAATAGCTAAGTTAGTAACAGTGAGGTGACTGTTACTAACCAGGGAAAACCCAGACATGCTCTTTGCAAAGGTAGATAAGATCGGTTTCTCAAGACAGCATCGGCCAATCACAGATCACCCCAAATTAAGAAAATCAGGCACTATTAATTCGGTGCATCCCTAGTAAAACTATGAACATTTTACAATCTTATTAGCTAATATTTATGTTAACCTGAAGTTGAAGCAGCATATTGAGGCTATCCGGCAGAAATTACAGACAGGACAAATATCACCAGGGAAAGCAGATTGTGCCATTTCCAGAAAATTTTTATGAGTAAGTTGGGACAGAGTCACCAACTAGTCAAATGTAGAATTCATTTATTATAAACAGATTACATTGACAGGATCCTGATTGGGACCACATGTTAATCTTAAAGGACTCTGATCTGAAACAGGCACAGGAAATCATGATCAGCTGAACAGTATTTTCAGCTAATAAAAAACAAAACAAAACAAACAACAACAAAATACACTAACTAAAACGGCCAAATCCCAATGTCTAGGCTGTGGACCAAAAGTATGTTTAAGGCAAGTATAGAAGTTAATTTGTCTTCAAAATTAATCTGTTTCAAAAATGCCACAGGGCAAAGCAAAGTCAAGCTCTCCTGATATTACGTGATATCAGTAATATCAGGAGTGGAAAAGAGTGGAAGTCTTCATTATGAAGTCAGCAACCATGTGGTTGATTAAAGCCACAAGCTCTACAACCTTCATGCTGGACAAATAACCCAAATTGTGCCAACTCACTTCCCTCATATGGAAAGCTTAAGAGTTGAGCCTAAAAAAGTTGGGGTCTTCATTTTTAGTTTATCTTACACCTGCTGAATTCTACAGAGCTGGAACCTCACACAGAGCAGGAAATTAAAAGCAAACCAGTTAATGTAAAGAAGGAAAGCGGCAGAATAATGAACGCAAATTACTTTGGAAAGTGTTCAACCACACCAGAGTCAAACCTGTCACCCTGTAAAACAAAAACAACAGGTGAAGCAACGTGGGAGTAAATATAGGATGGTTGCTTAAAGTGTGGGGTGGGCTGGCAGAGCAGCTGAAAGCCTCAAGAGAAGAGCCATGTGTATCAGAATACCGACTGTGGGCTCTTACAATGTAAAATGTAGAAAAATAAAGGAGAAACCAAGTTTGATATTAAATTTGATTTTTCTCTCAGTGAATGACAGCAGCAGAGGCTTACACAGAAATGAAACAGAAAGTCTATCTGTACAGCAACTGTTCCTCCTCAGGGCTGCCTTCTTCATTGGGAGTCAGACCACAAATATATTCTTACAGGAACTGCACAGCAGCTGGCTGCTTTATATTAAATGCCTTCATCACGTGTTTTCTCAATGTATTGGGACTTTTTTTTAAATATCTTTGCTCATAAAGAATAGACATGAACCATATATGCTGATGACAAGTATACTTAGCTTCTCAGCTAAGTCCAGCTAGCGGTTATCCTGAATGGAACACATCTGCTCCTCCTCCTCGCTAACGTTAGCTGAGAAACACTGTGGTAGCTTATCTCTCGGGAGAGGGGGGGGAACAAAGCAGCCTTTCCATCAGACAAAACTTTAAGGTGGGACAACAGCAAACAACCACTGCACGCAGTTTACCTTGTAGAAGGCCCCGTTCGAGCCGCGAACCTCCACGGCCAGTCCGTCCATGCTTTTCAATAGATCCCCACGGCTGTGCTTGCCGTCCGTAACCGTTGCGACTCCCTGCGAGTCCGGAGCCGTTCCCACCCCCAGCTTCACCGGCCCTTCGCCGCTCTCCGACAGCCTCTGGATTTCCAGTGTTTCGGGTGGAGGAGAAAAAAAAGGTGGAGGGGGCAGAGGTGAAGGGGTTGGGGGAAATGGGTGTCACAACAAGCAACGCAACGCAGATGCAGGAAGGAGTGTGTGGAGCGGGGACCGTTATTTGTTTTTGTCCAAATGTAGGATTCAGAGCTCGCGAGCTAAACGGCTCCACCGCGAGCGGCTGCTGTAGTTTCGACTTGCGCGAGGAGAAGCACGCTAAATGATGTTAGCTGCTGGATAATTAGCTGGGAGGCTAGCTATCACGCTAGGCGCCGTCAGTTTTCAGGGATGAAGCTAGCTTGCCTAGTGTCTGGTAGCCAGGTTGCGTTCTGTTAGTTGGACGTGTGGCGCAGACGCTGCATTGAGATATTTCACAGAAGTCGTCACCGGGGGTGGTTTCTTCAGCCTCTGGTGTAATCTTTCCGCGCAGTGTCTTTCTTAAATTCCGTCTGAAAATGTGCAACCGCCCGGCGACTATTCCTCACCAGCCACCCGACCCCTCAAACACACGCTGATAAAGTAAGTAGAAGAGGGTCTGAATGACCTCGAACACCCCACCCCTTCACTCGAGAACCTGCCCATAAGAAAACATGGGTTTCTAATTGGTTAAAATGTTCGTCAATCAATCATCCCTATCGGTTATTGGCTCAGCAAATAAGGGTTGGTCTCTGAGTGGGACCAATAACTGAAAACGATTCACATCCTAACACAATCCATTGGTTTGTTTCCGTGTCAGTTACAATTTCACTCATACTGACCGACTCCCGTACTCCATGTTACCCACTCATTGATGAGAGAGAGTGGGAGCATTCCTTAACAGTCGGCCGGCGACCGGCTCAGCTGGAATTAATGACGACAGGGAGTGGGAGGAGTTTTTATGTTCCTTTAGCCGTTTTTGGTGACGGGAGGAAGAGGTCATATCCAACTTGTCAGTGATTAAGTAATATGAACCTATTCATGTAATTAACAACAGACAACGTGAACAAGCAACAATGAAATAGTGAAACATTCTTAAAGAAATGTTGATGGGTTAATACCTCTGTGCACCATAATATTGTTTTGTAGTTCAGACCCACCCGTACACTAACTTTGGGCTTGAAGCCCATTAGACATCTGTTATAAATAACACATATATTAAAACATCTGTTTCTCAGTCACTGGATTCCACACAGTTAAGCTTAACAGACAGATATACAAACAAGAAAATTGGGTGAAATTTTCTGGCACTGTACGACACACACTCAGATCTTATCTGCCATAGAGGGGCTACACTCATGGAGTTCCACAAGATCCTATTTATAGGGGAACCCTTTTCTTCAACATCCCCATGATCCATCTTGCTCAGATTATGGAGTACTACAGCAACATATCTTACAAATGCTTTCCATGATGGTGTAACTTTGTATCTTATCGTCACTACTTCAGTATAGTTCACTACTTTCTGTAACCCATGTGTGTCGCTGCCAGCCTTGGCCAGGATTCTCTTCCAAAATAGATTTTTGTCCTGGTGAAAAAAAGCTCATGGCTTTTAAATATGACTCATGCCATTATTCCACCTTTCCCATAAAGGTAATTAATCATCAAATCTTGTTTAGTATGCCTTATATGATGATTTATTTCCTTTTTGCTGTATTTGTCAAAGCACCCCAAATTTAAATATTTCAGTATATTCTAAATGGCATTTTGTTTTCTTAAAGCTGCATTTGCCCTGTTTTGTTTTGCTGTGACACCTTCCTGGATCAGAGGATCAGCTGAGCTACTGCTGCCCTTCAACTTTACGTTCTCCTTCTATAGATGTCAGACTTGTGGTCTTTCATAATTTGACCCTGTCTCGCTCATTGACATAACCTTGGCTGAGCTCTCATTACGACCAACTGATCTCTTCCAGTCTACAAACCTGAAAAATGGCCCATAGATTATCTTTCTTTCTCTCCTAGATGAAGACACTGAGAGCTACTGCTGTTAACTCAGTTACCCTCAGGGGCCCTTCTGCATTAATGTCACAATTCTGAGAAAAAAATGTCTGAATTCTGAGATTAATATCACAAGTCCTAGTTTTCAATGTCCTTATTCTCTTTGTTGATTATAGCAAATGAAAAAAGTTTGGAGATTCCAACTTTAATCTTAGAATTCTGTCTTTTATTCTTAAAATTTTGAGAAAAAAAGTCAGAATTCAGATTATTTAAAAGTCAAATACCTGAGAAGAAAGGTCTGAAATCTGATATTAAAATCATAAGCATTTTTTTGTTACTTTAATCCACTTTCTGGCCCACCATAGGAAAAAAAGCTATTGTGACTTTAGTTTTTACACTTCATTTTAATTGGTCGTTTTCTATTTTTTTCTATTTTTCGTTTTCTATTCCGATATTGTACTAATTTATTGGATTTTTAAAACAGGAAAATCTAACAAATCGGGCTTGTTTCCTAATTTTTTTTTTTCAAAATTACTGTTTGACCACAGGTTTCTGTTCTGCAAAACATGAAAATACACAGATATCCAACATCACGTCAATTCAAATCAATATACACTGTAAACAACATGGACATACCGACTTACAAAATAGTAAAAGCAGAATTACACGATGGTTATAGTAGAAGATTGGACTTTAATCTCATGATTCTGACTTTAATTTAATTCTGATTAAAGTCAAAATGACCTTCTTACTTCAAATTCTAAACAAAAGGCTCTAAAAATACAAAATCGGTATTTTGAGAAAAAAGTCAGAGGGTGTGTCCTCTTCCGTAGCACATCATATTATAGCCATAACATGTATTCCTGTCTATATTTATAGCTACCATATACATTAATAAGTAGGAATTTCTACGACAACTACAATCAAAAGTCTTAACTAATGATTTCTATGACATGAACATGCGCTCCCGGATATGACGTTCCTGAACCCGCGTTTACGCGCTGTGGCCATGTGGGCTAATTAACCAATAGAATTACCCGATATAAGCGCGCGCCTCTTGAATCAGGAAGCACTCGTTGCTTTGTAGCGTGCTAGTTTTCTTTTATTTCTCGTGGGAGAAACAAAGTAAGACGGTCAAAGGAAATCTTTTGACAAAAGCTACAAAAAGAGAAACATTGAACAGAAAAAAATGTCTGTTGGGAGCGAGACAACGAATTGTCTGGAGACGGGAGACAATTTGCATCAACAGGGTAAGAAAGGCTTGACGCTGGATTGAGTAGGACTCGTTTGGAAAGTATGCTTACAGAGTCAACATTTTGTTTTTAGATATTGCAATTTCACTGACGTGCTACAAACTTTAAAAGTTAAGTAACACGGGGAAATTTGCCACTTTGCGTTTTTTTCCCCACTAACATGTTATGGATCGATTTATTGAGGCGTTTCCTTTCAATATTTCAATTCCTTTCAATCTCTTTCAATCTTTTTCAATCTTTCTACGCAGTTCTCGCCTCCTTACCGCCGTGTGACGTAACGGAGGAAGTTTTGACCCAGAATCCTCAGTTCTGTAAACTCTTGGCCACTCTGACTCAACATCTGGACAAAAGTGGACTTACTGTACAACTTAAAGCAGACCTGGACAGGGTAAGGTAACCTGGATGTTTTCACGTTCTTGAATACATTTGTAACATGATCTTTAAATGTGCCATATATATATATATATATATATATATATATATATATATATATATATATATATATATATATATATAAGAAAAAAGCACAACACTGTTTTCCCTTACTTTGAAATCAAATTAGGCAAATTGTTTCTGTTTGCTTGATGCCAGAGTGATTTCATTCTTTTTTTTTCTTTTTTTTTTCCTTTGGGAAATTCCGGATGATGTTGTAATTACTTTGCAAACCACAAATTCACAGGATTCGATTACATGACCATATGACATCAAATGTGAAGTATGGAGGAAGTAGAATCATGCTGTGTGGATGTTTTGATGCAGAAGATACTGGTGCACATAACACTGTGAAAATATTGAAGCAATATATTTTTTTAAACTTTCAGACGTCAGAAAATAAAACTTTAGGCACAAAGGAGAAATCCAAATAGACAAATAAGAGCTATTTGGGCCATAGGGAGATAATCTCTTATTTTATACTCTCATGACACAAAAACATATTGTCGCTCGATTGTCGGAGGAAACCCTGCAGAAAAGTCAGTGTTTTGGCATGGCTGTCTCTAAGCCCTGATCTAAATCCTTTAGAGAATTTGTGACCAGGCTTAAGATGGATGGATGGATGATGTTCCAACCAGCTAATATAGAGCATCTGTCCATTTAACAAAGTTTTTGAGAAAAAAATAAGTCAAGACATGTGTACCTAATTCTTATTAGTTAGTTGTATTATGCATGATTATTCTACCTTGGGAAAAGAAAAAAATTACAGTCATGATGAGTGAATGTAAACTAGCTAATAACTCAACTTTGGTTTTACAAGCTGAGGATTGAATGAGTCAATTACCAGGTTGTGAAACACTGACCTCTACTGGCACACAGGAAGAAGTGCAGAAACTTGAGGGTTTAGGTGGGTGTGTCGTGTCTGTGTGTAGGCTGAGCAGAAGCTGCAGAGCCAGAAGCGCCAGTGGCTCCGCGCTGAGAGCCTCTACAGAGGGCTGCAGGAGATGATCCAGGAGTTCTACGTCCAAAAGCACAAATCCACCGTTCCCCCTGACCAGAACATGGAAGATGCCACCAACTTCTCTGGAGTAAATTTGGATTTTAATACTTTACCATCATTGTTTCCATGTAGTACAAACAAATCCTCAAATAAAAGAATGTAATTATTGGATTATACTTGAATATGTTGCTAAGGAGTCTTTGCTACAGTTCTATGAAACAATGGAGAGGTGTCTGCGTGTGACTCAGTGTGCCAAGCAGCTAGAACCCAGCAGCACCACAAGCCAGGACCAGCCATCTGTTCTGGGCCTAACACCCCAACAAGTGCTCCAGCTCCTGCCTTCAGAAAAGGTACATTCCTGGAAAAAGCAGATTTTCCAACAGTCTAACTTTTGATTGTTTCCCTGACTCTACTCTGTCTTCCACAGAATGTCCAACAAATGAAACAGGCTCTTCCCACACAGCTGGAGAGACATCTGAAGGAGAAGTGTCTGAGCCTCGTCTCTTATTATCAGCCTGAATGGGGTAGTTGTCCATCCACTGACCATATAACTGCACAGTTTGGCATTTAGAAAAAAAAACTTGCTCAATGCAAACACAATAATTTTGATTTTAAGAGTCGCATCATCAGCGACTGGATGTTGCCACTGATGCAAACCAGATGATGGGAAGTACTTGGAGGACAATTTTATTTTTTTAATGACTTATCGCATGAGCAAACTTATCAACATGTGATTGGAATTGCTTTTCTTACTGAATGGAAATACCTCAATTGCAAAATTGTGTTTTTTGACATTAGCAGAATATTGACAGTCTTCATTACAGTTGTTGTAGAGACTCAGCTACTGCTACATTCACTTTTAGTATCTTTTAGCAGGCTTTGTTGTTGTGCACTCACTCTCATGTCCTCTGTATTGCCTTCTAGAGAATGAGAGTGAGGGTCTGAAGACCAACAAGCTGTCTCATCTATCCACCCTGCTGGACAAAGACAAGAAAAGAACAGAGCTGCTGAAGGAGACGTGTCGAGAAAACACTGTCCTGTTGCAAAGACAAACCCAGCTCTACCTCTCTGTAAGAAAATATAGTTCACTCTTTGCTTTTATGTTTTTTTGTTTAATTTTTTTCTTATTTTTAAAAGCATTCTTATTAGTTTCCAATCCAGTTATTAACAGGTCCAACTCCAAGCTGTATAGACTTTAATGCTTATTAGTTTTAATTATATTAAGTGGTGTGTGTTTGCATAAAGAGAGAGGAGCAAAAAGGGCCTGAAGAAGATGGCAACATTTCAGAACCTGTAAATGTTTTTGGTGCAAACACCAATGTGGATGCAAGGAACATCCTGAGAAAAAAGGTGCAAATCAACATCAAAGTATTTGAGAAGAATCTAGCGTTTATCTATGTGCCTGGAACCCATTCAAATACCAAAACTAGTCAAGTTGTTTGTATGTCACATTTCAGGCAGATCAAAGTGCTTCACATGATAAAAATGCAACCCAATAAACAGAAATAGAAAAGTGATTGAAAACTTGCAGTCCAGACTAGAATTAACAATGTTTCGATTATTATTGATCAAGGTAACTCTAAACAAATGGTGTTTTAGGTTTTGATTTATAACACCTCTGAAGACATTTTTGCAGTAATTAATGCAACTAAGCATAGATGAGTTTCTTTAGATCTTGGTGAGACATTAGTCGTGTAAACCTAGAAATGTTCTAGAGGTGGTAGAAGGCCGACTTTGCAAATGTCTTCATGTGTACCTGAATGTTCAGGTCAGAGTTCATCACTACACCCAGATTCCAGAACCGAGCTCTAGTTTCTAGCTGTAAGAACTGAAACCGTGTGCCAATTCTTAATCCTTGATCTTGATTGTTCTTCTTTAGGTCCAAAGATAATGTTAGTCATGTTTCTAAGACTCTTGAAGGAGCAGCAGCGACACAGGGAAAAAGTCTGCATATTTTGGAAAGCCAAATTGTTCTTTAAGCAGGACAATGCTCCACTATGTTGCTTGCCAGGAAGGCCTTCAAAGATGACAATAAAATAACACTGCATATTAACCCAACTGAGAACTTGTCAGACTTTCTTAATTTCCAGTGAAGGAAGATGCTTCTCTATACAGTGCCTGTAGGCTTTGAGCTCTGCCATCATCGGCAGATCAGATTGTGAAGAAAAGTCCTGTGACTGTAACTGAAAAGAAGAGTTACCACTTTGGTCACAATGCAATGCATGGCAGGCACTTATTGTTCTACACCTCAAAATAACTGCCGCTTCCTACTACTGTCAATGTGGCCCATACCGCTGCATGCCCCCAAACAGTATATACATCAAAATGTGCAGCTCGATCCTAATGTTAGCTCATTTTAACTTGTACACTTATTTCAACATACTGAAATGCATAAGTCCACATTACTCAACATGCTTGTGACTCTCCAAATGCTACTGAGTACATTAAAACTTACTTTAGCATTAATGCTAATTTGTAGCATCAGAATGCTGGGTTCCAACCGACGGACACGCTTTGGCAGGCCCCATTTAAATTTCTTAAATTTTATAGTTTCTTTATATAATTTTGAATTGTCAGAATAACTTAATGGTTTTTCTTTTCTTTCTTCTTTTAACAGATCAAAAATGGAAAGCTGTGCTATAATAATGCCAATAATTCTGCATACACAGGAAGACGTGTAAATTTTTTCAGGGATTTTTATTTTTATTTTTTACATTTTGGATTGACAAAGAGGACTTTGGTAAAGACAATTATGAAAATGTAAATATCATAAAATAGCTCCGCATCTTAGATTGTTACTTAAATTCTACATGGAAATAAAAGGAATAATTGACCACATTTTTCTTCGGGATTAGATAGATCTAGAATTGTCTATAGAGCTTCCTCAGCAATGAACAGTCCAGTGTCTCATGAAACTTTCATCACCCTGCTTGCAGTGAAGAAAACCTTCACTGCAGGTGAAAGTGTAACAGTGAGATATTTCTCTGATCTGACCAACTTATTTGCAGAAGACCTTCATTAGGTTGAGCTGAATTCCAACCTTTGATGCCACAGCATGACTCTGTTTATAACCCTGAACCTCTTTATGATAAAGGTCTCAAAAAGCTTTTGAAATGATTCGTAGTGAATCCATGTGAGCTGATGGTCTAATGAACATGAAAAGCATTCGGTTATCATAGTTTTAGCTCTTTTATAATTAGAAACCACAGGAGTTTTGTTGACATTTGTCTGTGATAAAGGTAGTCTTTTTTTTTATTTTTTTTTAAACAATTCTATTTTGTGTTTCCTTCATAAACCAGGAGCTGATTAAGTGTATCCAACTGTTCCAGACGCTCCTCTCGGATCACAGACTGAAGATCCAGACAGACCTGGATGGAAAGAAATTGAATTACTTAGAAGGCAAATGTGAAATAGTCTTCCAGAAGATAAAGTGAGGCTGCTTTGAGTTTTTAATTTACATATTCAAGACTTGTTTGAGTGGGACTCTGAGCCATGTGTCATATTTCTAAACATGTTTTTTCCTTTGAAGAACTGAGATGGAGGAAATTCAGCTGGACACTTACTCTCTTGACACAATTTCTGCTCACCGAAAAATAAGGCAAGAGGATTTTTGTCTCGTCTCTCCTCACCAAATGCTTGTTTTTTCTACTAGTTTTTGATACAACCTGGATTTTTATTGAGTCTTATTTGCAAACGTAACACATTATGCCATCTCACTGTTGCAGGGAGAAGCTGGAGAGCGAGTTGACGGCTTGTAAAGCAGAGAAGCAGGCTTTGGAGATGGAATTGCCGTCATTTGAGGTCTTGGGGAAAGATTTCAAGGCACTGGCTGAAGAGTACTTCAGATTACGGCAGGAGATAGACATGAAAAACTGGGCTCTGAAAGAACTGACGAAGTACAATGAGAAATAGCTCTCTTCTTTTTGAATTAAGCACTTCTGCAGAAAGATAATGTGGCACTCGTCATAGAAAATGCTGTGGACATTTGGTTCATTGAATTTTTATTGTAGAATTCTTCCTATAACAAATCCTAGTTTAAATACTCAAATAAGATGAGCATTTAATGTCTATCTACTGCAATCCTACTTTACACCAACTAAAGTTCAAAGTCCTCTTCTGTGATTACATGCTGCTGTCTTCGAAACAGTGTGTGTGTGTGTGTGTGTGTGTGTGTGTGTGTGTGGTGTGTGTGTGTGTGTGTGTGTGTGTGTGTGTGTGTGTGTGTGTGTGTGTGTGTGTGTGTGTGTGTGTGTGTGTGTGTGTGTGTGTGTGTGTCTGAGAGAGATTCATATTGATGTATAATTAAATTGTTGCAAATAGAATATTGTGATGTGTGTGATTTGATCTTGCTGAAGGCTTTATAGGTTTATAGGGGAACATTAACGAACAAACGTCATAAGGACCGAGGAACACCGGAAAATTTTCAAGAAATAAGATCTGGCTTAGGTACTTTAATCCCTTGTCAGTGATAAGTAGAACATCTGGCCTGTAATTCTGTTCCATCAATGTCCTAATCAGAATTTCTTGAAAAGAAACATTAGGGCAAGCTCAAAATTTCCTTAACAGATCTTATTCACAGATCTTGTCTACCTCTGCAATTGTCTGAAAACCAGCTACTGTCAACTTTTGCTCTGCTGTGAGGGAGGTCTGTCTGACAAAATACTACCACTGCAGCATGAACAACAATATAAAGACTGTTGTATGCATATTGTATTTAATTATAGTGCGTTGTGTTGACGTTCTCTTTATAGATTTCTCTAAGAACTTTGATACAGTGGTTCACTTCATTGTCTAAGAACAGTTGGATGGTTTGCAAATTACTTTAGCTGGTTCAGTTTAGCCACAAGGGGATACCACAAGGTTCTGTACTAGGCCCTTTATTTACGTTTTGATTGAATTATTTTGGAAAAGATATTTCAAATGCAGCCTTTCATTTTTATGTAAATGACAGTTATGTACTGCTTTGCACCTATGGCCAAAGAAGTGTTGGCTTACTGCATATGCTGAATGCATTTAATACAAACTTTGTCAACTTCAGCTTGCCTTGAATGTTGATAAACAAAGCTTATGTTTTTAGCAATTCATCATAGCTCAAACATTCAAATGTCTAGATTTATTAATTGATGGCAAATGCTTTAAAGCATGTATTTAGTATACCGTGAATAAACTGAGATTTTACTTGACTTCCCCATTGTTATTAGCTTTTTCTCAACCTCATGGAACAGTTTTCAAGCACAGCTGAAACTTAAAACATTGTGATAGATCCCATCATTAAAGTTGCAGAAGTGCAATTATTCTGAGTGTCTTTGTCTACATTTTATTGTTTGTCTTTTAAGAGTTTCAGCTATTTTTTGTATGATGCCATTTATGGCAAAATCTATCTTGTAAAAGATGTAGATTGATTTCAGTGGGGGAAACCTGTTTGAATAGAGATTATTATTTGAAGAAGCTTTAAAAAGAGGTTATTAAATAATATAGCAAACACTGAACATCTGTAAATACTGTTTAGTTGTTGCAATTTTCAGTATCATCAACAAGATGGCAGTGTGTAATCATTTTTCATAAGGTTACCTTTAATTATTGCGATTGCGGGGAATATTGTACAACGAGGTGGTCGTTTAAAATTTTAGTTATTTTTTAAATAATTCATGAGGTAAACTCCCCCTTGGCAACATTTTACACATGAATATAAGTTAAATATTTAGTTAACGCCCTCCTCGCGTTCCTCTCGAATTGACCATCTTCGGTAAAACCCCTCGACACTGACAACCGGAAGTATGCAGTGAAACATCTCGAACCGTTAAACCCTCTCTGGTCTCATCACTACCTCCACCATCATCACTATCCCCATCATCGTCATCATCATCATCAGCAGCAGCAGCAGCCCCGCCTCAGGACGTGGACCGCTGGCCGGCTGGTTCCTCCCCGACTCAACCTCTCCCACATCTGGCGGGCTGTCAGCACGCTGAACTGCCGCTCCGTTCGCTCCATGCCGCGACGTCGCGCGACAACAAGCAAGAGAAGCGGACTTGAACCGGAGCGCCGCTATGTCTGAGGTGCGGAAATTCACAAAGAGGCTGAGCAAGCCGGGGACGGCCGCGGAAGTCAGGCAGAGCGTCTCGGAGGCAGTGAGGAGCACCGTGGACCTGGTGGTGAGCTTTCCAGCTAGACACGGGCAGAGACTGCAACTTCTCGTTCCTTCCGCCCTTCATACACTGAAAAATTAACTTGCCCAATTTTCTTCCTCTGTGCGGTTTCCTCCCTCCTTTTGCTCCCTGTCTTTACTTTGTCTCCTTTCATTGATTCTGTCCCCGTGTCCACGTATTGAGGGGTTTTGACTGATTCACCTGCGTGCTCAGCGGTCGCTCTTGAATTTGCTGCAGCCGTAGAGCGTTTGTGACTTTGTCCCGAATCACACGTGTCCCTCTCCCCTCCCCAGGCCCCTCTAGGGGGGCTCCTTTTGTGTGCAGGCGGATGTGGAGCAGAGCCAGTTAAACAGCTGCAGCATGGCTCCTTAGACCCAGACAAACCAGGCTGGTATCTGTAGAGCTGCTGCATTGTGGTTGCCATGTGGATGAGCTTCACCGGTGGTGCCTTGATTCTGCTGAGGCAGCATTTAACTGTGTTTCATGACAGGAAATCATTGTTGTGACATTTGTGTGGCAGGACTTATGCACCAAGTGTTGTTTTTTGTTTTAACTGAAGCCATCTGTTAACACTACTCAATTTAGTCATTATGTGGCACAAACTGTTATCCAGACAGCTTTGACTTTCGGAGCTATGTGGTCCTTAAACTGTTGGCATTAATTATCTGCAAGAATAATATGAATGAAATGAGCTGCAATGTTGAGTTATAAGTCGATGCAACCGATAAGATGACAAATTCAAACCTTGACATTTTAAGACCCCCCTCGGAAACTGAATCGAGAAAAAAAATTCCAATACCTGGTCAGGAACCTAACCAGGTCCAGATAGCAAGATGGAAAATCAGTACCACAGATTCACAATGTATCGGGATTTACATCGGTATCGGCTGATTTTAGTCTTTTTTTTTTCCGGAAAATGTATTGGCATTGGTCTCATTAGTAAAACTGGGAATACAATGTTTATATCCATCTTGTTGGTGATTGCATTTTGTTAGGAAGAAGGTCAGATGAGCCAGTGGTATTTGTTTGTTTGGTCATGTGACTGTGATAGTGATGCAGCAAAGGATTGTCTGGTGAGTAAGTGAAGTAGGGAAGCTGTGTGGTCGGGTTTTTTTTCCCTCTGTGGTGTTGAAATGGTAGTGATATATGGGTGAATACTGGTTAACAGAAATATTAATGTCGAATAACGATGTTGGCCCAAATTTTCAAATCAGTGCATCTGAAATCGGAAAAGCTGTAATTAGGTAGAAATTGAGGAAAGTGCCAACCAGAGACTATGTTTCAAACACATAACAGACAAGTGTGTGAGAAGGTTTGGTGAGAAAAGGCGGTTTCTCCCTCCTGAACGCCTGACCTCAGAGAACCTTCCTGCTGTTCTTCCCAACTTGCAACTTGGAAATGTTTGCTTCAAATGTCCAGGGCATTTGGGAAAAAGATGTTATCTTTATTTTTTGTGACAGGCCATTACAAAAAATAATCCTTCCTTTCTGAAGGATATGAAAGAGTGTAGATTTTTTTTTCTTTACTATATGCAAGATCATCATCATTCTGTCACCACTGTCAGTGGTGACCCATTTTTTGTTTAATAATAGAATTCACCAGATTATTACTTACAATCTCCTGATATCTGCAAGAATTCATGATGTCATACACAGTAATAAGGTTCCCAGGGCCCACGGCATCACAGATCTCACACCTAATCTAACCCATTGTTCCTTTGTTTCTGAGAAGAGTTTTTTGTTGAAAAGCTAAATCTAACATAATATAACAGGCTTTTTCTTGTAATCACTCCCAATTACATGTATAGATGGATATCATGGTTATGGTGACCCAGAGGTTTCACTCTAAACAAAAAGTCTAGAGTTACTCATTTAAAAACTGAACTTCATTCAATAAATGTAGTTAAACTAAAGGTTAGATCTTTTATGTGACTACATTCAGCAGTATCTTTAGGGATACCAACATTATCTGTGCTCTGTGTTTGCAAGCCTGTAGTCTTATGATGATCATCTCCTGCAGTGTGACGCAGGAACAACTCCCCAGTGGAATAATCTTGTGATTAGGGTGAGTTTTCTTAAACAGAGCTGGTGAAGTGAAGGATGTGTTTTTGCGCTCTGGATCATGTGGGCTGGTGTGTGTACTTTCTGCTACTAGAGGAGGAGCGGGGACTGGCTGAAGACGTTATGGAGGAGAACAAATGCTGTTTTGTGGAGGATGGATGTTCTGGGTTGCTCTCTCACAGGGGGATTCCCTCAGGCATGCTGTGGCCATCTTTTCACTCTGTGACTGTCATTGTCGGGTCAGTCATTCCTGTCCTCCTCCATGTCGAGGAAGCTTTAGTTACAAATGAGTGCGCTGATTCTTAATGATAATCTCCCGTCAGGTTTATGTTTTTTCTCGGGCAAAATCAAACCTGTTCCTGGAAGTCTGGCGGAAATAAATCATGGCAGATGTCATTCTTGCCTTTTGAAGGAGCATTTCTTTTTGTTTTTATTGACTTTCTTTTCCTCCCTTGTATCAATTTCTTGAGTTATTAAGCTGTGGCACATCCTGAAGACCAGTTAATTCTTCGACTGAAAGTTTAGAAAACAACCAGATGAATTAGTGCTGTAGAATTTAGTCGGAAAATCTTATTTTGGGGATCTTGAGTGCGCTGAAAATTTTTTAAAGTGAGCAAAAGTGCTCATTTAAAAGTTCACTTTGCTATGAGCAGGCTAGTGGAAGTGTGGCCACCACAGCCGGTTTCTTTCTCCTTTCTCTTCACAACCGTTGTAATTTGTGGGTATAATGTAACAAAACATGAAAAATGTGTGTTAATAATGTTGCAAAACACAGTAAATAAATATTTTCTGGACTATAAGTCGGAAGATTTTTTTCATAGTTTTGCCAGGGTGCAACTTATACTCCGGAGCGACTTATGTGGGAAATTAGTAACACATTATTATTTCATATCACATGTTATTTTCACACTAAACCGCAACAGGGCGCTCTAAGCCTGTGTTGATAATGTGTGTGGTAGAAGCTACCTCCGGAGTTAGCGGAGTTGTTTACAAGCGACACCGAAGATGAAGATTTAGTGATTTGGAGTGACAGGGATGGTTTGGTAAACTTGTCAGCATATCATCTATGCTATAGTTATCTGTATAACTCTTAATATGTTATGCTAACATACCAGGCACGTTCTCAGTCATGTAACGTTAACATACCGTTCAATTATTCAGTCTGTCGTTGCCTCTATTCTATATTAATTGCCTTTCAAGATGACATGTCTGTTCTTGGTGTTGGATTTCATCAAATAAATTTCCCTCCAAATGCGACTTATAGTCTGGTGCGACTTATAAATATTTTTTCCTGATTTGTGATGCATTTTATGGCTGGTGCGACTTCTACTCCGGAGCGACTTGTAGTCGGTATATGTGTAAAGGGTACAAAAAAAAATCTTGTTTCAGACTTCATTTTGCTCTAATCAAGTATCTTTGATCTAACCAATTAATCTATACAAAGGCAAGCAGGTACCATGGCGACTTTCACATCAGTCTCTCTGAACTTTAGCACTTTGGTCACTGCCTCCTCAGTCAGGTGTGGGCCTGTAGGGCAAAGTGCCTGCAGGCTATTGAGGACAGAGCATGAATTCATTTGGAAAGTAAACTCCTTACATGCATTCAACTAAGATGTCCTTCTTGCATAGTAAAATATGCTCAATGGAGAGATGGGCAGTGAGAGTGATTCCATTACCTTCATATTTAATGAAGTTGTAAATCAGTTGGTTTAACAAGTGTTCTTGAGGAGCAGGACTGACCATCATTCCAGTCTAAACAGAACGCTGTTAGAAACTTCAGGTTGGGTTTTCCTTCTATTGGTTTATGTCAATCAGTTTAAACATCACTCTCCTCTTCTTGGTTTGTCTCCTCAGGAGAATGAATTCTTGCATCAATGCTTGTGTTCCTTTTTCTACCACACTTTTTTTTCTCACTCAACTTTGAGGCTTCATCTTCTTTTGGAGGGTGTCAACGACTGTCTGCTGGACAACTTATTCTCTGTTACATTAATTAGTTAGCATGTTATTAAGTAAATGTAACTTCTGGATGATATTGTCATTTATTGAGCTGTTTC